TCACAAATGACAATTTATTTTGATGAAAATTAACACGTTATATTCAACGTGTATGTCATTGTATATTGAAATTTCAGGTATAAGAAATATAATTTATTATTTAATGACAACGTTTCCTAATTATACACAGACTGAACAATACAGTTGTTAATAAATATATCGATACTATTCCCGTGATATTGTTGGCATAACATTCAATTGTGACGTCACGATAGTATAGCAAAGATTAGTGGTAGCTGTGTTAGAATAACTGACAATAAAGTAAAATAATCCCTTATATAATCACATATTATCTACTATTTATAGTAATAGAAATTTCAAAATTATTATCAACATTACTATCACAAAACGGCAGTGTTGCTGTGCCTAGAATTGTCTGACCAAATTTCTCCTACAAAATGTAGTTTAAATTATATATATTTCCTATAGTACCATATAATAAAAAAAGGACATTATATAATTAACTAGGTGATCTTCGTCTGCTTCATATTTTTCCCTCATTCTCTCATTTATATTCAGGTTTTTATGTTATTTTTCATTGCAGCTCCTCGATAAATAGGCAATACAACACAAACTTTTCAATATCATAAATTAGTAGTGCCGGTAATTATCCTGAATATCCAAACTTACAAACTTTACTTCTTAATATTATACATTAGTACCGATGGTTACTCACTGAAATGTTTTTTTTAATATTAGCAATTAACGTAACTATATGAAATAATAGAGAGGTATACTCAAGTTTCTTAATCAACTCTGAGAAATGTTGTTCTTACCAAATTGGTTAGGAACTTGGTTATAACTCAACTGTACATTAAATATGTACTTTTCTACTGCTTATTTTACGTAGAAGCCAAACTTAGACATTCCGTTAGTTACCAAGACAAAAGACAATTACATTATTTTGAAAAAATTGGTAAAATTTTGAATTCATTAAGTATTTTCGACGATAACTATAATTCATTTTAAAAAGAATACATAAATTTTATTAAGTCTAAGAAGAAAATAACAACTTTCATCTAATTAGTTATACTTAAGAATAATTACAAAATGTGACTAATTATATAAGGCATCAATTACGTAAAGTAAAAATAGACAAGATCAGCTGCACACTACAATGTCTTTTTGAACCCAATCCAAAAGAGAATGAGGTTCATAATTGCTTTTATTTTTGTATATTGGATATTTCTGTTAATTCTATTCCGATATAGACGGTTTCTTTGTTAAACCACTAGTTGTACATTTTTCTAGGTTTATTTGAATCTAAAGTGGCATGTAGCGAGTTTACCGCCGTGTCACGAATAATTTAGGGTTTTCATTCACCAAAGAATCATGAATAAATATAAATTACAACAATTTTTTTATGATGTCCTCCAGATTAAAACTTACTAAACCACGACTAGTCCTCTAGTCCACGAAAATTCAAATTATTCTGTATTGAATGTTGGAATAGACTAAATAACGTGTACATGTTCAATTCCTCAAGCAAAATGCTAATAATATTAGGTGTAAACATCAAGAACAATTTTAACAAGCGTACAATACTCTATAAGGCTTCATTTTACACATCGACCAAATAATGGGTTTTATCCTCAAAACTCAACAGACTTGGTTATTTTTTATAACTTAGAGGACAAAAGCGATCACCAAATGGCAAGTGATTACCGCCGCCCATGATCGACCTGTAACACCAGAGGAATTGCAAGTGCGTTGGCGGCCTTTTAATAATCGGTGTTCGGAAATACCATTGCTGGAAGGTGATTCCACAATGTGGTTGTGAGCGGCAAAAAGTTCCTGGAAAAATGGATACCTTTGTACCTTTGTTTCACCTATTTCTGCCGTTAAGCGGCTTGCTTAGTAAGATATATTTGGATTGAAATGCGAGATAATGCAGCAATATTATAGGTTACGAAGGTATAACATTTTAGTTCTCCGGAATGGCAACGCAAGAGTATTCCATGATAACGTAATAGTACGACTGCTACCACTTACCATTAGATGGGCAGTCAGGTTCGTTGCTATTACATAAAGAATTTAAGTATTCTAGCTAATAGAGATAAAATTAAAATTCCACAATGAGCCGACAATGACCTGCATCAACATAATAATACGAAATCCTTTTTTGGAATGAGTCATACACTTCTAACACTATTTTAAATTACAATGACACCTACAGTAATATCTACAAGCTCCGAAACCAATACTGTACAAATATTACAAAGAGAGAAAGGGTTGCTAAAAGGAACTCCGGAACAACTGTTCCGATTAGTTTTTTTTAACTGTTCTAAAAGTACATTATCCAAAATGACAGTCTATACATATTATGCTAATACATACAAAACTCACAGTTATGAGGGCCCGGGTGATGTCAAGGCAGGTCAGTAGTAATTTATATGAGGTATTATTTTATCAGTCAATTTATTTATTTATTTTATTACCAAAGACACAACAGAACGCCCTGAGTTGTCTTAGCATGCCGCCTTACTTTCGATGCTCGCGGGTTCGTTCCTAGCATGGCATAAACTTTTGTATTCCTGAATATAGTTGTTAAAAGTATGTTTTTAAGTATTTTTATCAGTAATTGAGTACCCATCCCACGAGATCTGCTTAGCTTGGTATTAGATGATGTTGTATGAATTCTCATAGGTTATTATTATAATTTTACATAACATAAAATTAGAAAAAAAAATATGTATGAACAGGGCTTAATGTACTAATTATTTCCCTACTCTATCTCTATGATAGTGAATGATTTATAAACGTCAAAGATATTTCGTTGATATTGATTACTTATCATCAATACTTTAATATTAATATACATGACATATAAAAGGCCTATGTCCTGATATATGTTAACAAATTTTAACTAGAGTACATTCAATTTTGTACAACACAAATGCTTTGCATGTTTACATTCTAAATAATTCGCTGAATATTCCAATATCTATATGATAGCAAATTTTGTAAAATAATTAATTTAAATAGTATTCATAATAACAATCAGCAATAATCAAGTTTATTGTCACCATATTAATACTTGTATAAAACTACAAACACAAATACCAATAGAGAATATAAGAAATGAGATATGTAAGTATAGATATATAAGAAAAAAAATTAGCTTTACTGTCATATCAATTCAAATTCAGTTGGCAATTTATTCCACAAGTACAGATAAATTAAGTACCAAAACAAACTTATATTGAAAATAGTGTACCACCATTTATGATATAAATAAATAGTATGAGAAACTATAGTAAAAGGCACATACATTCCCAATTTTTTTATGACAATTTAACCTGCCATACATATATGATAGTTCAAACTAATTGAATAGATGAATGTCAGTTAGACCAATGTGACTAATTCACCAAGAAATTATCATGAAAGGCACATACATTCCCAATTTTTTTATGACAATTTAACCTGCCTGTAAACTCTACATATATGTTGACTGGTCACAAGTTCAAACTAATTGAATAAGGATGAACTCCGGTCAGTTAGACCAATGTGACTAATTCACCAAGAAATTATCATGATGGTTACTAGGGGGACATAATTGAGGTCCCTTTAACATAGCACATTGCTTACAATGGTGTAACTAATAGGGACAACTACCAACCCAAGGGCTTTGCATGAGTGCAAGTACCTCCCCCTTGTATTCAATAATTATGATTTCTATGAACCAAGACATATGTGTAAAACAGTAGTTAATCTACTGTTTTACACATATGCCTTAGTCTGTAGTTTTATTATAAATATTTTGTATATTAGGTTCTACTGCTAGTTTCGCAGATTAAAGCTATAATACAAATCTGTTTCTTTCTTATCACATTTATTTAGAGTCGACTTATGCATTTCTCCCTAAGAGCACAAGGATAGGACATAAAAATATTTTTTTATTATTAAATAACTTACATTACCCATTAGTTAATGATAAGATATAAATTTAATCTGATTAGTGAGTTATCAACTATTTAACAGATAAATAATAACATAACTTATACTTCTATAAATTAGTCTTATTGTGACATATAACATTCAAAAGCATAACAAGAATCAAATTTATATTCTCCGATTTATAAATAATGAAATACATAAGGAACTGAGTACCCACTATATGAAAGAAGATATATTCCTTAAAACACAATATACATTGCACTCTACAGTATAAACACATTATATTTATAGTTAATAATAAAAATAATATGATTTGACAATATAGCTATAGCTAAGATTATATTAAAAGATAAATAAAACTATAGAATTTATCAATTAACAATATACCTATCATTAGTAATTGTAAGCTAGTCTGAGGAAATGTTATAATTTTATATCAAAACATTTAGTAGTGTGTCTCATGCAGGTGCATTGTTTACTACACAAGCATATTATGACTCAGGTGATTATTACTCAAACATTCAAAGATTATACTGGTTAATAACTGGTACTGATAAGTATTCAGAAAACTACTGATTCATCACAATGTTACAAGGGGACAAAGGTTATGAAGTTTTATGTACATTATTTAATTTTAACCTTACAAATGCAGTGGATAATCACCAGTATCAATGCACTGGCAGGCGGCCAAACATCACTCAAATCATACACCTAAACAGACCTTGAGAGAAGCAACGAACAAGGAAGTAGGTGTTATAATACCTACATTACAATAAGCAGACCATAAGTGCCCTACACAGACTCGATAGGTCTAATGACGCAAAGTAACAATTGTAACGCATAATATCACGTAGGTAGACAAGATAGCGAAGTTAAAAACTGACAGGATATTTTTTGCGGCGTTTGGTTTTTGTTTGATTTCTATATATATTTAAAACGGAATCTCATTGGAGGCAGATAAAATGATCGTCTACATTTCATTTTAAATATTGTACTCTGTAGTTACCGGAAATATCTTTTATTAAACTGTACATAAAAATAATAATATGAAAAAAAAAAGAAAAGCGACAGATGATTCAAATAAAAGAAAATCTACTTACATTCTCACATCACCACTGTGTGTAAAATTTTGTATCGGTATTCTATTACACTATTATCTTTAGGTACATTTTTGAAAACAAATCACCACGGAAATATTTAATCGCAAGATTATATGAACGTAACGTAGGTATTAAATGTCTGTCAGAAAACAATGGAATAGAGAAAAAGACGTGCAGAACGGTGATAGATGAAATATTGTATTGCTGATTGCTTAAACGTTCAAGAGATGGCGCCATGATCAATCCTTACCCATAGACAAGACTAAAGTATTTTGTAAGACCTAAAATAATTTAATAATAATACCTAATGAATCGGTTTTAATTGTAAAATTTATAAATGGGTAATCATAATACCTGTAGTACTACAATAGAACAAATAATGAAATAATTATAATTTAAATTAAAAAACTAACTAAATACACAAAAAAATATTTTACAAACTTCTCTTGAAGTAGATAAAAGTTCAATAGAAATAATTAATAAATATAATTCTTTTATTTTATTAACTTCTGTATACTAATTATTGAGCGACGACGACGATTTCTATTGTCAATTTTCAAACTGCTGCTTGTATGCTGTTCTAATTAATTTAAAAACATCAGGTGTCAATAAAGTCAACAAAATTAAAAAGTTACATTACATTAAATTATTATGTAAATGGACTTCATTACATTTACATAATAATTTATATATGTACCTACCTATATTTATTTTAATCTTATAATTTAGTTTTACAACATAAGTTCTTGGAATTATAACTATTCATATGAAACAATAATTTTATTTGTGTATTTTATTACATTGTATTGCTATTATTTCTATATTTTATGTCATTATTTATTTATAAACGAAACAATGTGTTAAATGACAAAACGTATTAGGTCTCACAAAATGCTATTTTGACAGTCTTGAAATCAGCGCCTCCTAGCGGCATATTGCATTGACCTCGAAACATCGAGACATAATCTATCTCACTCCCACTCACTGATTCAACGAAGGCGAATGGTTCAATGACTCTGGCGACCGTTTCTATTTTCTCTCTGGTTCTGTCGTTGGAGCGGCTCGTATAGAAGGGGTCTTTGTTTGCGTTTCACGTCCGCGACGCACGGTATCATCTGCGACCGCGACTTCTTCGTATTGTTACCGAGACGGAATGTGCCCGCATAAGTGGAAGCGTGGGTCTCGCTCCTCTCGGTTGATGTATAATGTCGTGTAGTTTCCCAGAGTGGCGCCGTCGTCAAGTGCAAGTGCAGTGAGGTGCAGTGGTGTGTGCGAACGAGCGTGGGTCGGTACGGCCACGGCGAGCGAAGTGCGTGGAGGTGGCGGCGGCCGCACGGCCATGACCGGCGATATGCCCCTAGGGAGCGCGCACGCGTTCGGGCGCGCTTTGCTCCGGGATGGGGCGCTGCCGCCGCTCGAGCCAGGCCCGCCCGCTCCACCGGCGAACAACGCGCAGCCGCCCGACAAGCGACCACCGGCCGCCGCTGCCAGCCCCGAGCAGGTCATGAAGCTCTACATGAACAAACTCACCCCATACGAACGCCACGAGATATTCGATTACCCCCAAGTGTACTTTATAGGTGCGAATGCTAAAAAGCGGCCCGGCCTCATTGGTTTCCCGAACAATTGCGAGTATGACAACGAGCAGGGGTCCTATATCCACATACCGCACGATCACATAGCTTATAGATACGAAGTGCTCAAAGTAATAGGCAAGGGCAGCTTCGGACAAGTAGTGAAGGCGTTCGACCACAAGAAGCGAGAAAACGTCGCGCTCAAGATGGTCCGCAACGAGAAGCGGTTCCACCGCCAGGCACAAGAAGAGATCCGCATATTGGAGCACCTTCGCGAGCAAGACAAGGACAACACGATGAACGTTATACACATGTTCGACTCCTTCACGTTCAGAAGTCACACGTGCATCACTTTCGAATTACTCTCAATAAATTTATTTGAGCTGATAAAGAAGAACAAGTTCCAAGGGTTTTCATTGCAGCTCGTTCGCAAGTTCTCGCACAGTCTCCTGCAGTGCCTGCATGCTTTGAGCAAATATCGGATCATACACTGCGACATGAAACCGGAGAATGTTTTGCTGAAGCAACAGGGACGCTCTGGAATTAAGGTCAGTGGATATCTATTACATTTCCATACCTATGTTTATATAATGCTCAGTTTATAGCTGGGTATGTTTACCTTGTCTCTTTAACAAAAAAGGAACTCGAGCTAGTTTAAGAAGCTTGAATAAATTCAAATTTGGAACTCGGTTCGACTATAAAGGTTCCAGAGACGCATTTTTTATACAAAGCGGTTCCCCAAACACCTGTTTGCACTGGTACAGTTCGGCACCGGATAAAAATCAATAAACAGTATTTTTCGTAAACAGTTGCAGCTGTGTGCGTTGGTCCCGATCAGCTGGCCACACCCGCCATGTCCGCTACGGCGCCACATTATACCTATATTCACCCTTTGTATCTAACTTCGTTCCTATCTAGGGCAGCCATGGATTATATGGGACAAAATGCCCCTCATTATCTATAGAAGCCATGTTTTGAATATTCATACTTCTACAACGAAATGTCATTTATCTTAGTTACAAAAATACATTTTTTTCGAAAACCATTACAGTTTAGTGTAAAGTTAAGTTTTATTAAATGATACATTCTGCTTTGGCAAGCAACCATGCTACTGCATCATAAATGTATAGTCTATATTTTAATGAACTACATTTAGATTTGAAATAGGTTTTACAGTCTATTTAGTTCTCAACTGACGTGGCAAAGCAAACTAGACGATAGAGATAGTGATAAAAAAAATTACGTGCATAATTAACAAAATATATCCAATCCAAATTAATATACTATAAAAAAAAAAATTATTTTGATTTTGATTCACCCACTAAGTGTCTCTGTATCCACGACCAAGTGTCCAGCTAGCTGCATACAAGCTTGTTGGCGAGTATACCGTTAAATCATAACTCTGGTAATAACGCAAACGTGTCGGTACTGTGATAATACTCGTTATTATTTCTTGGTGCACTGCCGAGATACGTTATCACAGTTTAGTTACTAACGTTCACGAATATATCACAAGTCGCTCAACCGAATCGTTGCGTTCTATTTTTGAACTTCCCGATACATTCAGTTACCCGAGTCCCGAGACAGCCGCCACGCGATTTTAGCAGTTATTTACGTCAATACATATCGTCACATCAACAGATTTCAAATCCATACTAATATTATCAATGCTAAAATGAGTCTGTCTGTTTGTTACCTTTTCACAATTAAACAGTTTCGGATCCTAATAAATTTTGACGTGAATATATGTTGTATTATGAGGACGTACATAGGTTATCTGTTATTTAAATATTAATTCATAATTCCAAATTTAAATAAACACGAAGTTGCGAGTAACGAAAAATAAAATATGACTTTTATCTATGCTCTAGTTTGATCCTACGTGATAAATTAGAAATGGTCTCTTTACTCTCAGACATGCAATTTCTTTATAATTGTACACTCTAAATTTCATACAAATCTGCAAAGTTATAATATTGGTGGGATGGGTACGAATCTACGAAACTTAAGTCATTGCTGTAACACACGAAATACTACTACGACTTATATTAAAAAAAAACAATAATGACGTACCACAATAGGATGGGACATACAACTGGGACAGGATGGGTGTAAGTAGACTAAAAAAACAGTCGAATGGTAACGCTTGTTTCGTTTTGAAGTCTGTGAAAAACTACTTTCAACCTTCGACCACTCACTGACCGACAAAAAAACTTGACCTACAAATTGATGACTTAGCTTTTGAGTTCTTGTAATAAAAAGTTTATTAAATGCGATATTTAAGGTGCTCTTCATTTTACATTGGCAGTCATCCGCAACTTTTTGGCATTTTTTTGAGATAAACATTCTTCACATTTTTATTATGATCCGTTCAGCAGTTTAGTTGGATAACAAACGAACGAATAAACTTAATTTCGTATTCGCAATGAAATTGTGAGTAAGCGTAAAAAAGTTTAAAACAGATACACCAAAACAGTTATTTAGGTGTCTAGTATTTGATACCGGTGACGAAACATAATTATTTGTTGAAGAATTTGTTAATACCATCGCTCAAATATAATGATGGCGCATATAGGTACTTACTTATATTCCGAAGTGATTTTATATGGATGTTTGTTATTATTTATTTATTTATTTTTATTTAAACTCTTTATTGCACCAGACAAAGAAAACACACAAAATGATATAATACATAAACTGATACAAAAGGCGGTCTTATCGCTAAGCAATCTCTTCCAGACTACCAGTAGAGAAAGTAACATTAAGATAAGAAAATAGTAGGTGGTGCACGTAATGAACATAAATATACATTTGTACATAAATATATCTATTAATATATATAATAAAATATAAACATACGTAAACATACATATACTTAATAATGCACATATCTTCAGAAAATATGAAGGGAACTATGTGAAAGAGGACAATATGAACTTAAAGGGAAAGAAAGTGGGATTTGACAGAGACTTTGAAACTAGCAAGTGACTGAATGCTCCGAATGCAAGGGGGAGTGCGTTCCATAACCTGACAGCCTGGACAGAAAAGGATTTAGAATAGAAGGAAGTGGAATGAGAAGGATATCTGAGAAGGAGGTTGTTAACATTACGCGACGGATAGCTACTGTTCTCACTGAGAAATGTGAAACTGTCTTGTTACTCTTTTATGAAATAAACTACAGGGTAAATTACAATGAAATTTGGTTAAAAAAACTATGTACTTAATTTGGCCCAATTTCTACATCATAATCAGTTGAAGAGTCTAAGTATCAAACTTTGATTATGCAGATATCCTATCAGGCGACTTATCGCATTCAGCTGATTTCTACTCAAGATTTCTGCGCTGTATTTTCCTTTATTTAAAACATTTAAACCAGGTCAACTTCCGTAATAAATCATACGTTTCAAACTATTGTATAGCATGAATATTGTTATCTTACCCAACTCTCGGTCCGTAAGTACCTTTGTTCGTATCTGCACATATTATAAAACAAAGTGCCTCGCCATGTCTGTCTGTATGTTCATGATAATCTTTAAAACTACTGACTGAATTTTCATGCAGTTAATATACCTCAACAGAGTGATCTCTGAAGAAGGTATAAAATCTATAAAGATTTGTAAAAATATCCCTTATCAATTACAAACAAGTAACTAAATCTTTTCTTTATAATAGCTTAGATTTCATTAGGTCATGTCAGTCCGTGGCTTCACTGTATGGTAACCACGATCAAGAGCGTATCAAATGAAAATTTCTATTTCTGTATTAAATAAAAGAATTACAATTAAACATTAATTTCATCAAGCTATCATGGTTTTATCATTAAATTATTTATTAATATTAATAAAAATCATTAGATGTTTATATTTGTTACTTTCATGCTAGTGGGGTATAGTGCAGTTTATAAAAATGGCGGCTTAAAAACAACATCTGGGCGAATTTTCACTTAATAGTAATCGCCCGTGAAAAAGCAACGTACACGCATAAGTAAGCACATTTTACGTTCTTGTTAATATTACAAATGCGAAAGTGAATATGATTGCTTATTACACTGTCACAAGTAAATTAGGTCGATTTGAGTGAAATTTAACACGGTTTCATTTGGCTTAGAGCGGACGGATGGTGTCAAAAATATTGCTTGAAGTAGTGTCATCTACATTGATTGTAATCCTAATGATATAAAGGCGAAAGTTTTAAAGATTGGATGAACGTTTGTTACTCTTTTACGTATAAATTATTGGAATGAAATTTGGTACACTGAAAGACCACATTCTAGTTTAGAAAATATTATTTTTACTCGAATCTACTCCAAAGTAGTAAAGTAGGAGTTGGAAAGTAATAAAGTAATACATTGAAACCAAAAATAATTCACAACATGTAATATGCAGAAACTTATTTAATGACCTTTCATTAAGACCTTGTTTTTGAACATTAGTGATACGCGTCATTATTTAGCAACTCATAAGGAAATTTATCAGAACATTAATTGCGCTTAATATACTGATAACAACTACAAATGATAACAAACAGGAACGGAACTCAATTTACAACTAAATGTTTTGTCTCTTTGTTTTCTTTAGAAATTTCTATTATTTTATTCTTTTTGAACAACTTTTTTATTACTATAATTATATCATGTTCATTCTTGCTATTTTACAAAGCAACTCCTTATGAAAAACACCTTTAATTAAAAAATCATGTTGTATATAATAGATTTGCTCTTTATAATAAAGTTTGTCTTTGCTTATTGCACTCTTGCACTATGAATTTTGCAAAGATAAAATTAATTTAGATTCATTTAAGTGTATCACATATTTTATTTTAGCATAAAAACCTTTAAACTATTATGGACATTTATCTGGGAATTCTATACCAAGAACTCAAATCAGTTTTATTTTAAAAACTTAAGGGATTTAAAGTACAAGATTTTTAAACATTTAAATCAATGTCAGCTCTATTACCGTACACATGTGGATACAACTAAACAGTAAGATGGATGTTCAATGTGAACCTATTGTGCTCTCATTTCCTTTGTCCATCGCGGTCACCTCTGCGTGTGGTCTGTTATTCTATATTTAAGAGTCGTTTGCAGAGTAACATAATAAAATTATTGAGCCGAAAAGGTTGAAACATGCTATGTCCTTGCGATCGTAATATTGAAACAGTCTTGAAGTTCAAGTGTTACTTGGTTACTGTCGAAAGATAAATAATTAATTCGTGTTATCATTGTTTGGAATTATAAAGAATGAAGTTTGTATTAATTTTATTAAATTATTGTTAGTATCGAGTATTGTTAACACTATGTGAATTGTAGCAAGTAAATTGTTTACACTCTGTTTAAAAGTAAACAGGTCAGAATTATATTTGACATTACTTATTACAAATTAAAGTTTTAAATGAGTATTCTATGAACATACAGCAAAAATTACTAATTTTAGAAAACTACGTTTGAACCATATTATACTACTTACCCTAAGAAAGAACTTTTAATATTTAGGAACATGAAAATATCACCACGTGCCGTGGGCAATAGCTACTATAAAACTAAAGC